CCCCAAAACCCCAAAACCCCAAAACCCCAAAACCCCATTGCTCAAAAAATTTATTGGATAAAAGCATGGTTTGGTGAAATATGGATTAAAAAATTATTCAATTGGTTCATCCCTTGGGCCTCTCTTGCTTAAATGTAACTTCTCTATTTTTGGATATGACCGAGCCCTTGAATTGACTTGACTGGTAACTAGACATTGCTGGTTCACTGTCTTCTTTGATAGGAGTCGGAGGTTGTTTCTGTGGAACTGCAACTTTCTCAGTATCTGCAAGAGTTATCTTGGTTTCACTACTTCTCTTTAACTCAACGATTTCGTTCCTCTCTACAAGGTCAGACTGAAAGCCTCACTAGCATTATTTTCCTGTTGTATTTTCTCGATCTCTTGATTTTTGAGTTCGATTTCAGTTATTGCATCAGATATCTACTGAATAGCTACCAAAGTTACCCTAGATATGATCAGATTTAGCTTACATTAGTTCATATTCTTCAATTTCTTTATTGATCTCTCTATAGAGCAAATCAGGAAATTTCCTTACTGTAAGTCTTTTTCAAGGTGGTAATTTTCCTTGGTGACTAAAGATGATGGAGTAAGCTTACTCTTATCTTCCACTTCAGAGCATGCCTTCAAGCTAATCCCTTGATCCTCGATCAATACCTATTGAAAATATGAGAGAGGGTCTCTGACAAGTTGGTGGCACTTACATTGATCTCATCAATTTTACACTTCTGCTTAAAATTTTCCTTTTTAAAGTATAATTTATTATTCTTCCTCGATTCTTTAAGCCTGTCCCAGTTCTGATTGGTTTCTGTCACCTGTTTTTCGATTTTTGGAATTTGCTTCAGATGTCTTTCTACAATAAGGAGTTAAGGGCTGAAGAATTTCAGAATGTAGCTGTGGAGTATCTTAAGTATCAAAAATTTACCTATTTCTTCATCATATATTTCGATCTTCCTGATATTATCAAGGACACCTTCCCTCATGATGACTTTGGCACTACAAATCTTACACATGACGCTATAGGGTTGGTGAAACTGGCTTACCATTTTGTTTCATTTTCCTTTTTGGATTTGATTCTAGTACAGGTTACTTAAGAGCTTACATAATCTTTGTAGTGACACAGGTCTTACAGAAGGCTTCACCACAGAGCTGGCAATTCTCATGTTTAAACTTGAAATTAACAGAATGCTGAGATACCTTCTGTGATGATCTCAACTTCTTGAACTTTGTGCTACATAGAGTACATCTCTCCCCTTCTTGCCACATTTTAGGAGGAAGAGGGTCTTTCTGGCTGAAGATCTTGTCGGCATTATCGAAGATAAAAGTCTTTTCACGAACTTTTATATTTGCATTGGCCAACCCTCTTGCAAGATTGCTGATCTCGTTGTTCTCAGAAAGCATTGACATGTATGATAGGTTTGAAGTCAAGATAGTTCCATTTCTGGGGTCACTGAGGTTCAAGTTAATGTTACCTATGGTTAAGACCTGAAATTACTTCTAATGTCAAATCCACTGAGCTGGTTCTGATTTGAAGTGACTCTCGCATGTCTCGCTGGTTCTTTAGCTTCCTCAGATTCATTAATCTGGATATTTATTTCTCCTGATGTGCTTCTCTGCCTTGCAGGAAAATCTGATATTTGATTATTGAACTCTAAATTTCCCCGATTAGTCGATACTATTGATGAAGGACACTCTCAGAAAAGATTCGACTTACTCTGTGTGGTGAACAGAGAATTAGTATTTTTTGCATGCGTTGGAGTATCCAAATAACGCTCCTCAAGTGGGGACGGCTTTCTGACATGCTTAGTATTTCTTCTGTGGATCTGCTTTCCCTCTGTAATAATCATTTCCATTTCAGATGACATTAATATGATTATTTCTATAATTATTGATTAGTTAGGGGTTTTGGGGTTTTGGGGTTTTGGGG